CGGTTCTCAATAATCGCATTATAACAGTTTTCCTGGATTAAGCAGGCAGAAATAACTGATCCATAAACGGTGCGTGTCTATGTCCGACAATACAAAAGAGGAAAGAGCCGACCCGTTACACCTGCATTTCATTACGTCTGTCATTTCTTTTTGAATAAAATATTATATGTTCCTGTTGAACTAAATTTTTAGGGTTGTGTTCAAGCAAAAGTACTACCGGTACTCCACTACTCGAAGCAGACATCAATAGTTAGTTCACTATTAATCAAAAATATTGGTTGAAATCAAAAGTAAAAGAGAGAACATTTTGACAATTATAGTTGTAGATCATTATATTAGCGGTAATTCTGTTATTTACATGCAAATTCTAAAGAAACAGAGCAAAATACAAAAGGAAACTCCTCTTTCACTAATGTTTCGGCTTAAAATTAACTATCATTAGGGTCTATTTTAATACGCATTTTTGTATGTCAGTACAAACAAACAGGATATAAAGAAAAATACAACAGGGAATTATTACACTATCATTAGAATTGTAACCTTGTAAATAGTTACTATTTCTGTTATTCAGATAATTGTCCTGTTAAATTTAATTCTAAAGAACGGGGTATCAGTTTTTCAACAACAACATTATGATTCACAAAGATTTTGACCTATATCTCAAATTCAGTGAGATTTAAAACGAATTTCATATACTGCCTGAATAAGTGATGCCGACATGTCACACAGCAGTTGCAGCAACAGAGTCCATTTGCTGATTCATCATGAGTGGTTGCCTGTAACTCCCTCCTTTCTGACGATAGCAATAGTAAGCAGATATCAGTCCTTGGATTCCTAAGAAATCAGATGCCACGCCTAAGTGATGGAAGATGAAGAGATCGGAGGATTCCGGTTTGAAAGAAAACACTCTGGGGTATTTACTTATGGAGAGAAACTAGTTTGTTCAAGCTTCAAATCCATAATTCGTGTGGAAAAGAAATCAAAAAAAATCTCGAAATATCACAAAACCTTGACAATAGAGGTTTTTGCCGCTTGTCTTGGATCCCGAGAAACGTGACTCTGCCGCCATCTTCAGCATGGTCGAAAATGTATTTGCATGTGTCTTGCATCACTTTACTATCAAGGCCGGGCCAGAAAAACTCGATTAACTTTAAACAGGGATCAGTCTCGTGTTTTCCTACGGAAATTTGAATTCTCCTTCCCGGCCAAACAGTAACAGTAATGAGGGTTACACAAGCAAACACGTTTTCGACCATGATGAATAAGATGACGGCATTAGTTGATTAAAAAACACAAAGATCTTGGAAAGGTTTTCTGACGACTCTCCAGAGACCTGTTTCACAAGTTTTTTTCGACTGTTGATTTTTCCATTACAAAGAGCTAGCAGATTTGCATAGTCTGTCAAAGTTTGACTTGGATTCAACTTTCCCATCGGGATCCAGATGACAGTTGTTCGTAGAAAGTAATTGAAAGACAGTAGAAGATCTTGCTCGAACGGGGTTTCCGAAAGCACAATTAGTCAGAGTTTGGGCGATCCCTATCGGCCTCTGTTGTGTAATCCGTTGGTTTACTGTTTCTATCAAGAACAACACCAAAGTTTTGTCGATGCCAAGTCACCCCGATCCTCTATAATAACCTTGACTTCTTCTGATTAACAACGCATAGCTCGCTCATTGGAATTTCCACTTGTAAAATTTCTATTGAGAACGTTGAAGTTGATGACTCTATACAGTGTAAGAGATGGTCTTTTTTTTGTTATATTTCGGATAAGTACGTCACAAGCCCCCTCTAACAACGACAAATTGTCTATTTTTTAGCATATCTTTTTAATATCTTTGATGAATTATAGTTAATTAATAGCTTAGCATACAAGATATTTTTACTCTTTCTCGAAGAAAAATGAACTGAGAACGTGACCAATTATCCGAGGATTATACACGTATAAAAAGGAAGAATGACGTAGATCAGTTCATTTCTGGTTTAAATGTAAAAGTTTTGCCTCTTCAAGATATCTCACATCACACACTGTTCAATTATTCGTACGTTAATAGACGAATGTTATCGCCTAATACTATGACATCCATTTCAAACGACAACGATCTAAGCTTATTATTCTCAACCATATCATTTTTCATAAATGATACCACTGGCGATGGTCTCGGCATCAACACTACTGTGATGGTATCAGCAACGATATTGCCAATCTCAGTGTCAGTCGTTATTCCAACACAAACCTCTACAGCTTTACAATCCCTATTGTATATCGAATCGGTGCTCGCAGTTTTTACCTATGGCGGCGGGTTTCTCGGTAATATTTTGTCATTGATCGTATTTTCTTCACAGCCGGAGTTTCGAAAAATATCCACAGGCCTATTGCTTCTGTTGATGACCGTGTTCAATACGATTCATTTGTGGACATTGGGCACTGATTTCCTTAATGTTTACGGTATATATTTGTATCCTGTGGCCTTGAGGCCGTTCATAAATTAGATCAATCACTTTTTTTTTCTTTTTTTTTTTCGCCCTGCCGCTGTGTCAACTTTGGCTAACTTTTTCATCAGATGTCGTCCAACACAAAACTTTCCGCTGAGTTAATTATCCATAATAAACTATGCTGGACTCCTCGCCTTTCTCTTACCGATTGACGTTATTTGTAAATAGTCCCATTCTTAAGATGTCAGCTGCAGAATTTCGTAAGTATCGTCTGCTTGATAGTATTAATGAAAGGTGATTGAGTGAATAGAAGTTATCTTATGGAAGCATGTTTAGACATCTTTAGACTGCTTTATGAGTTCGATTCCTTGGCATATTTTAAATTGGAAAATATAGGATGATGAATTTGCACACGAGATCTTATCGTAAAAATGCGAACAATTAACACCACAGCTGCCTATGGATTTAAATTTTTGAATCACGTTCGACCCGGGCACGTTCAAAGAAAATTTTTTGGAGTCTAGCACAGGGAATAAGCGTTTCACGAGAGGTTTATGCACTTACAACTAATTTTAGACTAATGGAGCATGCCGTTCTTATGTCGCTCTGCCGCGACAAAAATGGATTTATTTTGATGATATTTCGATATATTATCGGATTATTTTCGTGCATCTATAGGTACGTACAGGGCCGTAAATTGCGTGTGTGTGTGTACACCGCCCAAAAGTAAAAGTTTATCTTTTCCTCCTAGCAGAAATTAAATTTTTTTTCGTTATTTTTGGTCGTACAGCTAAAATGTTTTTTCTTACACCCCCCAAAAATGTTTTTTATTGCACAAAGCTTTAAAAAATTTTCACACCCCTCCAAAGTTGACTTCCTATTTACGGCCTTGCGTACGTGTACACGAAACTTTTTTGCTAGTTCTGTTCAATATTCTATAACTGTAGACTATTCATTTTCCCGAAAAAGAATGACTTTTGTACTTTAGCATAAAAATTACTTTATGTAGGTAGATTTATTGAAATTCCCGTAAGTTAACTAAGGGAACATGTCAAAATATATGCCGATCGATCGCTGGACCGCTCTGCCGGTCTCAAGTCATTCGATCGCTCGGAGTTTCAACCGTTCTGTCGCATTCAAATTCTACTTTATCTGATTTTGTTTAATTTCAGTTCCTTTGATTGTATAGTGGATGCATATATACATTGGTATGTATATACTTCCAGTGTATTCGTTATTTTTATAATAACGAGTATTATAACATATAAGCACGAGAATACAACAAACGAAGAAGAGAACGTTTTTATTTACATTTACTGCTATTCAAGAAATATACCTTAAATACACTCTGCTTTTGCATATTTTGTACATATTTGACTACACTTTTTGTTTAAAGTTTTTTTTGAATAGAGCACTACTTTTCATTGAAAGGACAAAAGAACGTTTCAAAATATATTCCGGTCGATCGTTCGTTGTTCCTCTATTCCATCACTATTCTTATATTCCGCTGTTATTTAACATCTCATGTTATAATATATAAATGTATAGAGGAACTTCACTTTCTTTTCTAAGTGGTTTCCTTTTAGTGTGTGAGATATATGTCTCATGGGAATCAATTAGAAAAGAAAGTGAAGTTCCTCTATACATTATATAAAAATTATTATAACATGAGATGTTATAAGAAAAGACTGATGTGGTTATGTAAGAGGAAAGGAGATATGATGAAACTGTGCCCCGATAGCTCAGGTGGTTAGTGCGTTGACAAGAATGCCATAGTCCTGGATTCGAGTCCCAGTCGAATTATATTTTCTTCATTCAGTTGTTTAACATCATTCTCAAGATGACAATATACGTTATTTCATAGACGCTGTCACTAGCTAAATTATTTTCTTGATCATGTTCATATAGAACTGAACGAGCTGATCCGTAGCGATTGCAACTAAAGTCTCATGGTTTGAAAAAGACATCTACGCACACTTATTTATGGCGAGCTGCACAGTCCTCTTTTACAAAAAAAGAGCAGAGTTTTTCCTACTCTTTTCTCTAACGCAGGTCTATTCCAACATTTTTTTAGAGTCTGGACCAGTCCATGGACTGAAAGGTCTAAGTCCAATCCATGTGAAGCCTTATTACATCTCCTGAACCAAGGTCTTATACTTGATGAACATTAGAAGAGGTCCACGTGATCGTAATGGATCACTTCTGTGAGTTTCAAGCTTTTTCTAGCCCTACCCGAAAAGATTTTCAAAAAACTTGACTCTATCTGACCTAAGAATGCCAGAAATTGGATATACATAAAAATTTTGAGCTTTTTATCACACGTTTTTCTGTAAAATCGAAAGTAATATTCCTAACATTTAAGCGTCTAACAATTGAGCCGAGTGTATCTCTATTCTATGTTTTCTTAGGAAGGGGACCGACAGCCTTTGTGTCTTACTTTATCAAGAAATAAGATTAAAATAATAGTCCAACTGGATTCATTTCAGGTACAAAATGTGAGCCGTGGCATTGCTGCATGTCTCGCTGCAAGTATTGCCTGTGACAGATGGCTCCGCACTGAATACCCAATGAAATCAAAATTAATTTGCACAAAAAAGAATGTCGTTAAAGCGACAATTGCATTTGCAGTTTTCTTCTGCCTCTTCTCATCATTTTGGTTTTGTCCACTGAACGAGTTTAATTCCATTGACCAGTGTGTGTACAACACAAATGCAATTTATTATTTTTTTCTTTTACAAATTCATGCACCATTACGTTTGATTCTTGTTTGTGTGATCCCTGTGATTACGATGGCAGCAGCGAATATTCGACTGTTGAAAAACATTCGTCAGTCTCGACGACGAGTAGCGGCCGAAATGGAAGGTACACACACAACATATGAGCAACAGCAGCAGCAGCAAATACAACAACTGGAAACAACAATATCTCAGCCAGCAAGAAGTGGAATCAGGATTGAAAATATTTTGAAATTACGTCGATTGAATGCCATAGATCGTATGTTAATATTGATGATGATTACCAATGTGACAATGTATGTCGTTACACAAGTCCCCTATCATATTTACGCCGTCAGTCGAGGTTATTATCAAGGACTCGATTCATATACAAATTCACTTGTTCGAGCTTTGCTCTTGATATGGTCGTCGTTGTATTTCGGACTCGGCTTTTATCTATTTTGTTTAGCTTCGCCGCTATTTCGACAAAAATTTGCTAAAACTGCACATGCATTAAAACTATATTTCTGGCGATAAATTCAATTCATATGACAGCAAACATACATAAAACAACAGATATTTATCTAGTGTAACTTTTCCTTATCGTACATAGTTTTAGTTAGCCCTGCTCTTTCGAGTGAACTAAATTATATTGTCTTTCTCGTTTCTTTTAGATAATAACAAGTTTCTTAATAGTGGCAAAAACTGGTTCAATTTGTCTTAATTAACTAATTACTGTAATAATTTTATTTTTTAAGCCCTACATTTTTCTGCATTTGATTTTTAGAACGCATTGTATGTTACGCCTACACAATAAAAAAGAATATGTCGCAGCTCCTGTGAGAAAATTGTGTCGCAAAAGAATCTGTCACATGTTACTGAGAACATTTAGACACAGTTCTTGAAGTCATTTCAGGATCTATTCTGTTCGAAAGGTTGCTAAATTTTGTTTTATTATTCTAAACAGTCTTTATTAGGATTTTTCTCTTGAATTTTGATGAGCTATTGGTGGCGCTAATACTTAAAATACAAGAAAAGTTTCGAGCTTTTTATGTTCCTTCAATTTCGGATTGAAGTTATTCATGGATGAAGATCCTCCTCTAAGTCGTTCTACGTTAAGCATATTTTCTCTGACAAAAAAGAACCCCATGTCTTTACTACGCCATTAATCCCAGAACTCGAAAACTAAATATTTTGAAGATCTATGAATGTTACGGGTGGATTGAGTTCGTCGACATTACGTAGTGCACCCAAAACGAATTAAGAAATATTCCTGAAATCGAATAAGAGATCAGAGCTGATCACCTGCGTAATTTGTCACCCCTAAGGCAAAATAAAGTTTACCCGCGTTGCTTTTTTCTACGTTTTATTGTAATTAGTTTTTACAGTTTGCATATATTCAAATGAATATTATTACGCTCTAATTTAGAGTCAAAAGTTTCTTATATGTTCTTGTCATTTTTCACATGTGTTTTTGTTTTTGAAAATAAATAGTCTTACTATCACTATGTCGATAGATAATCATTAGCTGTTTCTTTCACTTATATAAAAATTTGATTACAAAAAGGTGTTGCAATTATGTTTTATTGTTAAATTCAAACGTTTCTCTTATAAAACAAAACACTCCATATTCAAGGTAAGAAAAACGTCTTTGCAATTGTTAACATTTTCTCTAATCGGATACTCTAATGTTTTTCGGGCAAAATACCAATTTAGGCGCTCCCACCTCGTATATCAGAAATGACAAATTTTCTTTAACCCTTTGGCTCCCGGCGACATATAAATGCGCCTAGTTGCAATTATTGCATGATCATAATAGCTAGAATAAATTTGAAAAAGATTTGAATAGCTGAAAGAATTTCTGATCTCAGGTGGTGTAGTAGTAGTAATTTTATTTAGTCCTTGATCTTAAAACTGACTTGGTGATGATGAAAGTTTAAAAGAAACTTTGTCTAGATCATACCGAACAAAGAGAAAAATATAACATAAAAAAAACAAAAAGG